ACAAACGTGATACATTAACCAACTTAGAAAATTCAGTGAATACAAAGTAGAAACTAATCTGATAAATCTAATTAACTATTAAATAATACAGATGAAGATTACACGTACAACATAAAAAACTAAGTTATTTCTATTGTGGCAATGTTAGAGAAGACATGCTTACATCTATACTAAAGCAGTTTTCAATTCCAACGTGCCTAGTGTTGTTCATGTGATAGTCAAGGAGAAAAATGGGATGTTGCCGAGCATTTTGTAAATAAAAATGTGTAAGTGACTAAAAAATTAAAAAATTTTGTAAGTCAACTTGTTTATGACTTAATGTTTAAGGCTACTAAATTCGTACCTTGCTTTTTTTATAACTTGTCTATCTACCATAGTCATTTTATTGTGACACAGCTTGAATATGAAGATAAATTAATAAATGGTACACTTAACAATAAAGAAAAATTTCTTTATTTCTTAAAATATATCACAAAGGACTTCACAAAAAGGTTTGTTAATTCAATTAGTTTTAAGTATCCAGTTTATCAAAACTAGTAAAAAATTTTACTAAAAGTGATACAAATAACTTCAAGATAAGACAATACACTTTCCAAATTCATATATAAGTCTTATTACTTGTAACATGTTAATTCATACAAGTACACAATGTTGTTTGAGAAATTGAATGATACAGCATTACCAACGATAAATGAGTTTTATATTTCTCTGAATGAGAGTCATATAATTGAAGATAACTATAAGCATGCTCAGAATATTTGGAGCCATTTTGGGTGTACAGTGGTGTTGTATTTGTACTGTTCTTATGTCACCTGGTAAAGTCATTTAGAAAACTCAGTCTGAAAACTTATAGATTGGACCCTAATTATTACCACACTACAACCAGTACGTAGTTTGACTGCATTTTGAAGCCTACAAAGGTTAAGTTGGAACTTTTGCATGATTATGATAAACTCATATTTTAGAACAAGATAACCGAGGAAAATTGACAACAGCAGTACGCAAGTATACGGAAGCCAATCATGATGGACTTTTAACTATGATGCTAGTAAGCTTAACGGTTGGATAATTTACCTTAATGCTACAAATCTGTAAGTTTTTATTGTATTAATTATAAATATGAATCTCTCATGATTTATATGTTATGTCTTAGTAACTAAAATAATGTCTATCTTTTAGATGGAGTGAGAAAAATTTAAGTGTTTTATCAATTCTGAAGATTTTTTATGAAATGAAGAACGATTCATGAACAGGTATCGTCCTAGAAATTACCAAGTGCAAGTTATTTGTATTTGGAAGGTGAAATAGTTAAACCAACAGGTACATGTAGAAATTTTAGGTTTATTAACAACAGTCTCGCTTACTTATTTTCTGAAATATGTTATAAAATGGTACTTAAATATAAAAAGTGTGCAACGCA